ACTGCTTTGGGGAAGCTGAAAGCTCTGCTAGAGCAAGAATGTTCCAGATGCCTGTCTCTTGATATTTTCCCACAGTGAGCCACACCCCAAACAAATCATATCATCCACGCCTTTCCAATTGGAGCTCTAGCTTCTGGAAGATGCCAATTCTTTATAGGAATTCTGTGAGAGTTGGATGAAGTGTCTGACCTCATTTGCACCCCCCTTCTTTTTTTGAGTTCTGAATAAAACCAGAACAATTGGAAAGGGGGGTGAAGTTAGGGCCATAAGAGAGAGTCTTTGGTTGCACACCAGAAAGAAGGAAACAAATCCCTTGAGTTGAGAGTCAGTTGAAAAGGAGGATTAAGAAAAATGGGGAGGGGAGTGCTGTGCCAGTGTCTTCGACTGAGACGATTACTTGGTAGATAGCTCTCATGCCTTACAAATGGCCACTGAATGTTCTTAAGGGAAATGTAGACCGTATTTAACCCAAAGAATGATTCTATGTCTTTGTACAGCTAATTTTATAGAGAGCTTAAAGTCCTCAATAATAAGTGTGTAAAATCTATAGTGGTAAATATACGAAAACTCTTTTGAGTATGCTGGAAGCAGGGCAGGAATCCATTTAATGCCACAAGATGACTCTTACTATAAATTTGTCCAGAACACCTTCAAAGCTAAACAGTGCTGACTGGGGAAAAGAGACTAAGGGGAAAAACCGTGATGTTGGGGGTAAGACGAATAAAGGATTATTAAGAATGTAGCTGACAGCTTCCTTTTTATTCCTGTTTTGGCTTCCAAATTATAATGAAAGCAGGTGCCCAAAGAAGCACTGTCACATAGGAACATTAGGCAGTGGGTACCAGATAACCTTACAGCTTGTACCAAAAGCACAGCCAAATACTAGCTGTGCTGTTTTGAGTGCCTTTGGCGAGCCTGGGTAAACCACAGTCCTTCATTGCAATGGTTCTTAGAGTGTGGTCCATGAACCAACAGCATTAGCATTACCTAGAAACTTGTTAGAAATGTATATTCTCAAGCTCTCGCCCAGACCTATAGAATCAGGAAATCTAGAGTGAGGGACTGGGAAATGTGTGTTTTAGAAGTAGCCCTCCAGGTGTATTCACATTTGAAAGACCATTGATTTCATAGTACGGACTCTGTCAGGCAACCAAGAATCCAGTGGGCCACAGTTAGACAGTGTTAGGTCCAGTTTAGGGTACCATTTCTAATAATGTAGAATCTGCTAGAATGGTCTTTGATCCTATTAACGTAATGGCAGGTAATGTTTCTAAATCTTCTTCAACAGTGTTCATATTTTGCTTGACACTAGTATGAACAATACTACCCTATCTAACATTACTTATGTTAATTAATGAAATCCCCAGTGTAATAGGAGCTAAATATAGCTGCAGCACTTTACGGTGGCCGCCTCTCGAGTGAGGCTTTTTGATTAATTGCTAAGTAGCCACCCCTGGAGTATGCATTCCTGATTAAGACAACTGACCGCCTCTGTAGTGTGGCTTAAACTAACATACGCATACATCACATTGTACTGTATACATGAGAGTAGTTTTTTTCACTCTTAAAATTGACATTATTAAAGCATAATTTAAACACCATAAAACACTTCCATTTTAAATACACAGTTTTGGCAAACATGAGGTCATGTTGCCCCTACACCAGTCACAATACATACCCTAACCACCTCAGGTATAGCTCTTGGTTCCTTTGAGTAAAAATTTCCACTTCTACACCATGGAGGTTACCATTTGTCCATAGGTAGATTTAGCATGTTTTATATTTTTTCAAAATTATTTCTGTAAGTTTTATGTAAAAGCCAGTTGCATGGCTTTTAGATTGATGTTTTGTTACATTCTCTGTAATTATTTTCCTTTTATTGTATGTCAGTATCTCTTATGTGGCTAGCACAGGCTGATTATTTGTTATTCTATTGCTTTGTTTCCAGCCCAGTTTGGGGATGTTATGAATGAAGCTGTGGACAATCATGTTCCAGGCTTTTTGTGAACTTGTATTTTATTTATTTTTGTAAATATTAATTAATATTGGTCATAAGATATATGTATATTTAATGTCATAAGACACTCCTAATCTGAGGCTAGAGAGTTGGCTCAAAGGTTTAGAGCGTTTGCTGCATTTGTGGATGATCCAGGTTCAGTTGTCAGCACCCGCATGGTGGCTCACAACCACCTATAACTCCAGTTCCAGAGGATCTGTAGGCACCAGACATGCATAGGATATATAGACATACGAGCATGCAAAACACTCAGACACGTTAAGTAAAAATAGTAAATCATTTAAAAAAAAGAAAAAGAAAGAGACTGCTCATATAACTTTCCAAAATTGTGTTGTTTTGTATTCCTATAAGCTCTGTAGGTGCTCTGGTTGTTTCGTGGTCTTTTCATTATTTGGTATTGCCAATCTTTAAAAAATTATGCTGAATAATTTGGAATAGCTTCTAGATGTTCTTTTCTTCCCTCTCATTTAAATGTAGGCCAATATATTTGGTTTCTGCGCAGACCACAAAGCGAATAATGTTGATCTAGGTGACTTAGATATAGAGAAAATATTACTGTTTCCTTCCTTAGGATCAGTGGTGTGGATATCCTTTGTCTGTGGCAGTTACACTGTCTTCTTGTCTTCCTTTTGTTCATTTACTCATTCAGTCTGTCAGCCAGTTCTCTGGCTGTATTAGCTCTGCTTTGTCACAGAGCAGTTATATATTAAGTTGCTAAGAAATAGGACTGGTGACAAAATTCTCAAGAAGCTTTTTGGAGCTGAGTTTCTGAAGTTTATACATACATGCAAACTACATACATACATACATACATAGAAACTCTCGAAAAGAAACATAGCTATGATAATGCTTGTGCAGACTTGCATAAGGGTGCTGTCTGAGTATAGCCCCCTGTTAAATGACCTGACTTTTCGGGACTTACAGATAGAAAATAGTGGCCTAAATTGTTGAATTGTTAGTCCATGCCGACTATCGGACTTAGACCTTAGACAATAAAGCTAATTGTTAGAGAAACTTCCTCCTGCAACAAATGGGAAGAAATACAGAGAGCCATAGGCAGGCATATGAGAGAAAGAGAGAGAGAGAGAGAGAGAGAGAGAGAGAGAGAGAGAGAGACAGAGACACAGAGACAGAGACACAGAGACAGAGAGACAGAGAGAGAGAGACAGAGAGAGAGAGACAGAGAGAGACACAGAGAGACAGAGAATCACAGAGAGTGAGACAGGCAGAGACACAGAGAGAGAGAGAGATAGAAAAACCTTGAAACACACAGCTCTAAATGGGTTGTCTCCATCTAATCCCTCTGCTCAGAGCTCAGGGCACCCCACAGAAGAGAAGGCAGAAAGAAAGAGCCAGAGGGGATGGAGGACACCAGGAGAACAGTACCCTCTGAATCAACCTATCAAAGCTTATATGAACTCATGGAGACTGAAATAGCATGCTAGGGCCTGCATGGGTCTACACCAGGTTGTTTGTGTCTAAACTATGGCTTCCAGGTTAGCATTTTTTATGGGATCTCTGAGTGAGCAATGAGTGGGTCTCTGATTCTTGTGCCTTCTCTTGGGGACTTTTCCTTCTTTTGGTTTGTCATGTACGACTTTGATGTGATGGATTTTGTTTTATCTTATTATATTAATTTTATATTTTCAAATGAATGAGTGGATGAAAATCTAGCCACTGGTGTAAAGGACTGAACTGTTAGTTACACCTACTGGGAAGGGAACTCAGTTCTCTCCAATGGAGTGACACTGGGTGCACGAGCCACTCCTGGGCAGCCCTCATGTGTCAGAGTTGTTGACCCATATAATTGACTCCACAGGGTTTTTTAAGGGGGGGTGCTTTTATTTGGTTATGGTTTTGTAGGTTTTTTGGGGGGATGATTTTGTTTTTTGGTTTTGGCGGGTTTTGTTGTTATATTGGGTTTTTGCTTGTTTTTTTTTTTTGATGAAGAACATTAAAGTTGGGTGGGTAGGGAGTGGGAGAAGTACTTGGGAGAGGAGAAGAGTATGACAAAAATATATTTAAATTTAAAAATAGTTTTAAAAGATAAAATGAATATAATGCTAGTTGCTGGTCCAAGATTGCAAAATTACATTTTAGCAGGAATAAGTTCAAGAAATATGTTCTGTAAAAATAATTAAGGAGATGATGAATTTGAGAGAGGGTGGGCAAACATGGGAAGAGTTGGCGGGAAGAAGGGGAGGCATGGAAATGCTGTTAGTTTTCACAGCAAGTGCTCGAAAAGTTAAGAAATTATTCCATTTAATCGTGACTATAATTAATGGTGATATATGGTTGAAAATGCAAAGATGCTGGCTGGATATTAAGTGTTCTCACCACAAAAATAATAAGGATGTTTGCTTTAAATTTAATCATAATGTTATGTGTTTTTTTAACCTCAGACATCATATTGTATATGACAAATACATGCAATTTTAGATCAATTTAAAAAATGTTGAAATTCATTTTACTTTCAATTTTATATCAACACATACACTTGCAGATTATATAAAACATGCTTGGAATGTTAACAGTATATATTCCATGGTTGTAGGCTGTTATGCTTTATTTATTCAGTTTTATAGGTTTCTTTAATTCTCTTTTCCACAGTAAACATCTGACCTTTTATATGAAAATATGGGCATAGCGTTCTTTGCGTTTTCAGGTCTTATAGCAATTCCAGTAATGTATTCCTTCTCTTTATTTAATCTTGTACAACAAGGATTTACTACAGTAGATACAGATTACAGTCTAGGAAGAAAAACAATGGTTGGCCTCCTTTTCCCTCTGGGGACCTAGCAGTGCATGATAGGCCGGCAGGCTCTGCCATTGTAGCCTTTCCCGGAAGGGAAGCTAAGCTGTCCTCACTGTCCAAGGGCACAAAGAGCTGTTTCCTTAACACTAAACCTACAGAAGTTCACCTTCTAAAGCTCAGAGCATAAACACAAGGTTTCTTTCTAACTTCTTATTGTGACTTTTGTAGCTGTTGGCAAATCATCGGGGGTTTCCTCTGTGCTTTCTGATGAAATAACAAATGGTCTTTGTCTCCCTCCTTTTTCTTCAGCTGACCTGAATAATGTCAGGTTCTCCGCCTATAGGACTGCCATGAAGCTCCGAAGACTGCAGAAGGCCCTTTGCTGTAAGTATTAGCCAATGTTTGAAGGCCTTGATCATTTTTCTTTGCTTAAAGAATGAGGACTGGAGAGTTTTCACCATGTTTACACCCTTGAGTCACAAGGTCATTTTGCCAAATAAAATTTATTCTTGAAAGCTTTTTGGCTTAGTACCTGCCCAGACTGTTTTGTTGGGTTATAATTACCTCTGCAAGTGTTCAGTGACTTTTGTTAAATTGATAAGATATTGGTAAAATTTGTTTTGTTAAATGAATAGCATTTACACCTACATTTATCTTTGTGAAAGTTATTTTATCTCCCCCTTTCCCATTATATCTTCATTTTATAAAGACTATTTAATATTAGAGCATTATAACAATATTATCTGAACCAAGTTCATAGATATGTCTTTTGTTTCTTTAAATGCAAATATTCAGATGTATGTTATGATAGAGAAAAGATGATTGGATTTTTTGTTTGTTTTCCCAGGCAGGGTTTCTATGCATAGCCCTAGCTGTCCTGAAACTAGCTTTATGGGCTAGGATAGCTTTCAACTCAAAGATCTGCCGGCTGGGATAAAAGGCAGCAACACCATGCCTGGCGAGATCTTTTTTATTTTAACTTTCCTTTATTTATTATTTGTGTCTTTCACATCATGCTTTTCAATCCCATTCATATCTGCCCTCTGCCCCTGCTACCCACCTCCAAAATAAAGCAAAATTTAAGACAAAAAAAAGAGAGAAAATTAAAGAAAAAAAAGGGAAAAGAATCTCGTCATGGAAGCGACAGTGTGACGCAGTGAGTCACAGAGTATAACCTTTCGTTCATATATCTTTACTTGCAAGTGTTCATTGCAGAGTCATCGGTCTGGTTTGAGGCCTCTGGTTTCTGCTACACTATCGATGCTGGGCCCTCACTGGGACTCCTCTTGGATATCCTGTTGCTGTCCTGTGCTGTGGAGATCATGTAGATTTGGATCTGCAGGAACAGCCCCGTCATATGTGTTCTAGTCATAGGGAGGGAAGGCTGTGTTCTGAGGCCTGGGGCCTACGGAGAGCAGAAAGTACTCAGGAACTAAAATGACTTCGTCATGGCGACTCTGCAGAATTCCAGGCCTATTGTGAAATATTAGGCTAGAGAGAGAAGCAGGAGACAGATTGCGAGAAGCTTTTAAAACCCAAGTTAAAGCCTTTAGAGGTCAGTGGGAGCCATTCAAGAGATTTTGGCAAGGGGATGACATGGATGGATTTTCACTTTGAAAAACCATTCTGGCTGGGAAACAAAGCATGAATTGAGGGTTGAACCATGAGCAGGAAAGAGATCTGTTACTGAATTGAAACCAGCAATATGGTGGCTTGGATAGGAATGGAGGAACATTTCAGAGATATAGGCGGCAGATGCTCCAAGCCTTAGTGATTTGTTTGATGGGGAGGGTGAAGGCAAATCAAGGAAGGGAAGACTCGTGGATTCTTGACTTGGGCTTCCCTGTGAGAAATGAGCTTGTCTACCAGAGTTTGGTAAAAGGTAGAGTGAGCTACACAAGCAATATTTAGCAATTAAAAGCATGGAGCTATTGCTTAAATGATTTATAGAAAGGTTAAGATAGCAAACACATATGCACAGAGGAAGAGAGAGGGAGGGAGAAGAGGTCATTTAGGACAGAGGATAAGCAACCATGAAAACTGAGTATAAAGTCATGTCTGAGAGTTCCGTAGGAAAATCCAAGGGGTTATAGTGCCCATTGCATGAAAGAAAGGAAGAACCTATCATAAGGTCAGATGATGGTGGTGACAATGCCCATTGTATATAGCAACAGAGAGAGCCTTAGTAACTTTGGTGAAGATAATACACCGAGCATCTTAAAAGTGAACAAAAGGTGTAGATGACTGGAATGGGCCTGTTCTTAGAGAACTTTAGTTGCAAAAAGGGGCAAAGAGAGGTTATAGCAAATTGGAGATGACTGAGGAAATAAAAAATGACTGACTTAAGATGACAGAATAAAAAGGGGCAAGTTATAGGCAGGTGTCCTAGAGCCAGGCAAAAAGAAGAGACACTTCGCTGCTACTGGAGGGCCAGAGAGAAGGATACATGCAGGTTCTAGGTAACCAAGAAACTTGGCAGCAAGAGGGCGATGGAAACCCATCTAAAACCAAAGGTTTTCTTTGTGGAGTTTGAGAATCCCTGTGACACAGTTAACAGTGGAAGGTAATAAAACGGACACTGACCTTATCTTTGTGGAGAACGAGGGGGAAGTTAAGTCAAAAACCAGCATTGGGAAACTCAGTCAGCTGACTGTTTCTACAAATGCCAATCTCTAGTGGCGCAATATTCCTCTAGCAGCAGCCGGCAACCAGAAGCTGCGTACCGCTGTCCTAGGATAGGCAGATGATACCTAGGTGAGGGTTGTGAGGGCTTGGGGAAAAGGGAGGTTAGAATGTTGTATTTCAAGGCCATGTTGGGTAGGAGAAGCTAAAAATTTAGGTTGAATTTGGCAAGTAGGAGGTAGAGGGATCAAGAGGTAAAGTAAGTTAGGAAGAGTTAGTGAAGGAACTGAAAAGCATGCAGTTATATTCAAGAAGGAGATATTGCTGACTGCTATTTCTAAAGTAGCCATTTAAATGGGTGACAGAGTGAATTGGTATGATTTTTTTACGGAGGTAGACTAGAACATTAAGATATTGAGAAGCTAGAGTTATGAATGGCTCTTCCCTTCTAATACTAAAATCCCTCAAACTTGGGGATGGAAATAAGAAACACTGAAGGACTAATAGCCTCGGCCACCAAGGTCCTTTGGAAACACCTAGATGTTCTCAGAAGTGGGTAGAACTAAAGTCAAGGAACTACTGGTATGGGGTTGTCATATAGTGATGCAAGTGCCCTAGAAGTGATAGTATTGGGAAAGGTCAAATAGGTTCCTTGTCTTTTCATATTGATATTCCCAATAATTAACATAAAACTGAGCAAAGAATAGAGCTTTCTGTTTTCATAGAATGAATACATGGATGAAAGCCAATGGAAGATTCCATTGCCTTAAGAGCTTATAGCCCAAAGTTATCATTTTCTGGTGCATAGTTGCCAAGTTTCAGTAGCTAATAAAAGGCTCCCCATGCCTAGGATTTCCTTGGGGACCTGGTTAATGAATCGTAGCAGGCACAAAGGAGTTTGGGGTGGGGTGGAGTCAAGGGGCTGAATAGAGAAAGTCTTCTGCCTTTTTTTCTTCTTTTGACCCTGCCCCATGCCAGAGGTGCTGCTCGCCTTTGATAAAAAGGAGAATTATGAACTGGTTATTCTAAAGTGCTATAGAATATTCCTGTAAGATCCCAAAAGTTCAAAAGAGGTAACCAGCTGTTCCAGGTTATACTATGACAAAGCTCAGAAACAGACTGGACGGAAATGCGTCTAATGCCTTATGACTGTTATCCTTTTCCACCGCTGCCTGGAATCATTTGAACATTATTCATTTTTATGGTGAAAGAAAAGAATTCTATTCATTGTCTTTCTTTTCAGTATATGTCAAAATTTTAGTAAACACTGGGAACATGGAGGAGTTGGATAGGGGGTAAAAAAACCATGTTAGCCATTTAAGGTGATAACCTTGTAATAAACCTTAACTCTGAATGTAAGATGATTTGGTTGAATTTTCACTTTTAAGCAGAGTTGAAATTCTCAGCATTTCTTTTCAGATCTTCACTCTGATTTGAAAAAAAACTCAAAGATAGCAAAATTAGAGTGTATTTATCTAAATTAGGTACCGAATTCTTAAGAATGCATGGATAATACCATGCAGACTATGGCCCCATGTGCAGTGAGAACAGAGCAAAAAGTTTTGGCAATCCATTTACTTTTGAAGAATGTGTGTGGTCCAATTCCTTAGTGAGGTTTCAATAGGTGATTTAAGAGCTTCCTCCAAATTTTGTATTTGCTTAGGTTTATCTTCTAGCTCCTTTTTTTTTTATTTCTGTGCCTGCAAAAGCTTGATAAAGAGCTATTGTCCATGGCCTAAGCAAATGAAACTTGCTCTGACTAGTTTTTCCTATCAATGTCTATTTCTACTGCGTCTTACATTAACAGAAATTAGTGATGTTATCTCAGTGATTTCTTGATGCCAGTTAAGAGATTGAATTTCCAATCCCTTAGAGAACATACTTAGACGTCTCTATGAGGCAACTGATCTTTAAAATAAATAAATAAATAAATACTTCTCTATCAAACTTCAATATTACAGGAAACCAAATAATACATTTTATCTACTACAGAGAATGTGCTACTTAAGTTATGAGTATCACCATTGGCTTACAATGCCCCCAGTTTATAATAATTTTTATATTGTGTGCCTCTATGGGTGATTTTCTGTGCAGTGTAAACAAAAGTTAAAGTTGATAGAGTAGCAGAGAAAAATTGAATGTCTTGGTGTGAAGTATTTGTAAGCTGGTTCGTGTGGTCAGTAGCCTGGGGAAGTATGAAGAAGATGATGTAGCTTTTCCTTTCTTCTCCCATGGTTCTGATGACACTCTATAAGTGTGCATCTTCTATCATCTAAAGGATAGCCAACTTGCAAGAGCAGAAGTAAAAATATACTAACAAAGCAAATATATTTAGTTTAGTAGTGTGTAGGGGATTGGAGAGAGCCCAAACCACAGGGCTAAATATATGACAGTTGATAAATGTGACAACTATTTTCCATGCAACAAGAAATGGAGAATAATTTGCCACTGCTCAGAAACCTGATCCTAAATTACAGTCATACGATACAGTATAGAGTTGTCTGATTAAAGCTAAAACTTCTGGATTTGCTTTCACTAAGACAAAGTGAAAAATGTGCTTTCTTCCAGGTAAACGAACCTTACCTTCTAATAGAGCACTAAAGAGGGCATTAGGCAGGGTTAGGTTGGTAAAGAAGACTCACAGGACCCACGATAACATGGCTTATATACTATAGTTTATTGCTACAGCAAGCTACAATGCAAATAGTATTAATGTAAGCAAGATGTAGATCCTGAGTCATTCGCTGACTCACATCAAGGGCTCCCAAGTATAATAATATGTATAATATATTAATAATATATGTCCACATTTTTTTCATGTAGCTTAAAAGGCATATCTCTGTTATATCAAAATTTAAAATATCTTGAAGATAATTATCTTGTGATAATATCCATCTATCTTGTAGGAAAGTATTTTGGTGTGATAATATCCATCTATCTTCTAGGGAAAGTATTGTGGTCCCTCTAATGTCCTTGAATTGCACAACAGGGAAAGAGGTATTTGGTGCCCAGTCCTTGTAATATCAAAGGGCCCTTTGTAGGCTCTATTATCCAGTTATCAGTGGTTTTATTTGCCCATGATTCTAGGCACCTTTCCATATTTGTCCTTCCTTCTGGAATTGGATATCCTCAAAGTATTATTCTTTTTTATTTTTTATTTTTTAAATTTATTTATTTATTAAGGATTTCTGCCTCGTCCCCACAACCGCGAACATCGTTTCCATCAGTTAAACTTTGCTACTTATGAGTAAACTCTAGCTGGCCAGGTATTCCTGGTCCAGTTCCCATTTTTTATAAATCTCTTTAAAATATTATTTCTTTCAGAGTTTCAGGTTTTTTACTGGTGTTGAACATCTTTACTTCCCCTCTTCACTTCTTCCCAGGTCTACCCATCTTTTTTTCCTCATGAAACATTGTGTGTTGTGTGCTTCATTGTTTTGTTTTCCTTTCCTTTTAGTTTTTTTTTTGAAACTCTTCAAGCACAATTTGTGCTGCCCAAATATTGTTGATTGTGTGGTCTTCCACTGGACTGTGGTCAACTACGAAGGGTTACACCAAGAGAAGCCTGTCTCTCCCTCTCCCACAGCTAACCATTGCCATTGATTCTGTAACTAGGAGTGACACTGTGTAGCCAACTCTTCTCTCCAGGCTGGGATTGGGTCTAGGTTGAGCTTGCATAGTTTTGGTGTGTGCAGTCACAATCTTTAAATTCATACGTGCAGCTGTCCTGTTGTGTTCCAGCACATGTTGCCTTTGGCTTTTGATAATCTTTCTGTACCATCTTCTGCAATGATCCCTGAGACTTGGAAGGAGTGATTCTATATCACTACCCTTTCTTTATAAATATTGCCTTAGAAATATTTTAGTAAGACTGGGTTGTGAATCTTGTAAACATTCTCACTTCTGACATGTATGCTTGATGACATAAGAAAGTTCTGTCATCAATAATAGGACTTTGTCATTAGATTATAGAGATAGTTTTGATGTTTGAGGGGACGAGGGGACTCCTTTGGCCAATGGCAAGATGTAACGGATGTAACTGATGTTTGAACCTAGAAGGAATGACTAGGCTTAACCAGATTCTCTTCTGAATGGTAAATATGTCCCTGAAAGGGAGTCATTTCTCTCCTCTCTCTATCCACTCAGGCATAAAGAATACACCACCACATAGTCCTAGTCTTCAATGACATCGAAGCTATAACTTCTTTTTTCATTAAAGTATTTTTGAAGAAGCTGGAAAGATGGCTTAGTGGTTAAGAGCACATACTATTCTTGTAGAGGACCCAAGTTTCAGCATCCATATTGGGTAGCTTACAACCACATGTAACTGCAGCTAATGGCTTCATTGGCCATCTGCACTCAGATGCACATACCCACACATATAGCCACACACATACATATAATTAAAAATAATAGTTTAAAATATGTTTAGAGCATTTTTGAAAGAAAACATTTTAACACGGTTTATTTTATTTTATGTGTATAAACATTTTGCCTGCATGTATATATGTGCACCACATGTGCCTGGTGACCATGGAGATCAGAAGGGGACATCAGATCCCTGAAGTTATGATGGTTATGAGTCACCATCTATGTGGGTTCTGGGAACTGAATCCAGTTAATCTTCAAGAGCAGCAAGTGCTCTGACATATGCAAGGACGTGTGCACGCACACACACACACACACACACACACACACTTTGAGCATGTGTACACTTATTTAAAATTATATTATATATTAATATAATGGAAAGTGTTAGCTTCAAGAAAAAGGATATCTTCACAAAACCATCTGCTAGTTGTTTACTGAGGTTTGGAGGAAAGCTTATCGTTTTGTTTAAAGTTTCACCAAAATAACTTCTATGTATTCTTTAATAGGCTTGGTTTGAAAATTGAATGTGTGTGTGTGTGTGTGTGTGTGTGTGTGTGTGTGTGTGAGAGAGAGAGAGAGAGAGAGAGAGAGAGAGAGAGAGAGAGAGAGGTTTCAGTTGCCCTTATCTCTTTCCTCACCTGTTTGCTGGTCTGTTGCCTGGTCTTTGTCTGCTTAAATAGGAGGCTTTTAAATATTGTTCCGTGGAAACAAAATTCTGTTTTTCGATTTGCTATATTTGTTTGGGGAATTGTGTTCTCCCATATTCTGTGATGGATTGGTCTTGTATTTCACCGCATCCGGTTTTAGCAGAGAACACCACACAATATTTCTCTCCTGTGCCATCTTCTGCTCCTGTTATTTGCAAGCAATTGCCTCACTCCCCCCGGAGCTATTTTTACTCTAAATTTTCTGTTGTGTGTGTTGCCTACCTAGTCACCTGTGTTGAGATTAGGTCCAATAAAATGAAATTCAGGCCATTTCACTGTTTGCTTTTTATCATCACGTGGGTTCATTCGATACGTCATCAAAAGTGAGTGGAAAAATCCTCACTGTTCTTATATACTTAAATCAAAAGCAAAGTATTTATAATTATTAAAGTATATCATAGTAAAAAAGGAAATAATAAAAGCACTTCACAGGACCCATAGTGTTTCTGCAATATATAAAGAAACACGTTAGAAATTTTGGTGTATGGAAGAAATCTACTCCACCCTTCCAATAACAAAGCTGCTATGCTACCTTTCTGACAGTTTCCACAACCTGCACTTCAGCAGTTGTGCTCTCAGGAAGTCAGGCAGACAAAAGAGATGATAAAAATCTGAGTGCTATGTCTCTGTAGCTCCCTTCTGCCTCCCGAGGAGTCCCCATTTCATCTCCCTGTTCGGATAGCCTCCTGCCTGCTTGCACACTCATTTTTTTTTTCTTCATTGTGTTGCCCGCCTGACTTCCAAATACGTCTTGCAGTCTGCCAGTTTCCTACTTCCACGTGTACACAGTCTCGGATTTCATTAAGGAAGATCATTTCTTTCTTTTTAGAGCACAGTGGAGCATTGTCTAAGGATGTTTGGGCTAGTCACTGGCAGTGATCCCATAATACGATGCAGCCTAGAAATATAGTAGACTTCTTAATTTGTATAGCTATATTCGGTGATGTTCACTCAATGATTAAATCACCTGCTGATGTTTTTTTTTCCTCCAAAACATTCCCCTGACGTTAAGCAGAACATGGTTGTAAGCAGAACATGGCCTTATGTTAAATCAAAACAGGCTGCAGTAGAGACATGTGCGACCATGAGTTCCATCCTTAGCAAAATACAATCTGTAAGTGAGTAAGAGGAGTGTTAGCCCAGGAAAAATAGGAAAACTGGCCCATGGCATGAGAGCACAGAGTTTTCTTTATGGGAGCGAAAAATAGTGGAACTTATCTCTTGCCTCTGCCATCAGCTCTTCATGATTCTAGGGAAACTTGACACCAAATTCTTTCCCCTTTTTTAAGAGAGACAGTATGTTGCTGCATATGTATTAACCACTATTTTTGTAATATTTAATTTGAACTTACTTCCTGTAACGAGGAAAATGTGTTATTTATTTATGTTTGCCTTTCTTATATTATTGGAAAAACTATTTACTGAAAGAAATTGCTTCTTGTGGATTTCATTTGAAGTTATATTTACAGTTGCAGTGCCCCCTCTTCCCCTTAGGTGTGTGAGAGAGGCACTTCATTATCATTGATTCTTTGTCTCAAAGGACTGACACTTCGGAGGATAGCTTCGGTGTACCAGGTGCTTACAAAAACACCAGTGTTGCATTTTCAATTTGGCTAATAAATTGGCTTGAGAGAAAAGCGCCTTTTCATGCCACTCGGGAATAATGCTAGTGATTTGCTGATGGAAATCCACTCTTGTTAATTTTTTCTTTTGGCATCCGATTAAATACTACCCCAGACCAAGGGAATCTCCCCTAGCCTTAAAATTTTTAATAAGTGTCGAGAAAAAGGACATTGTAAAATGCAATGTGAAGGTGAAAGGAGAAATAAATTAGCCGTAGGCTTGAAATATGAATAGATCATGCAGTTTGCCTATAGAAAATTTTTGTGAAATTGGTTATTTTTTCACCTGGTGTTAAGGCAACAAAGAGAGCTGAGATATCTCTTTTAAGGGGAAAATGCTTTCTCATTATAAATGCATAGCCAGAAATTGAGTTTACACCCCCCTAACCATATATATTCATCTATTTGATCTCTAAGAAGGGAAAGGCCCATCAGTGAGTGTGTCTTTCAAAATCTCTAGGGCAACACGTTGTTTTTTTTTCCTACTTAGAAATGACTATTGACTCAGAAGCCTGATCCCTTTAACACTCAGATGGTTGCTGCTATTCCAGAGAAGGGAATTATGTAAGTTTGTATGTTCATCCGATGCCAGTGAGATTGGAAAACAACTTCAGATCGTGAATACTGATAAAATCAGATCAAATTGAAAGGAAAGTGATGAAAACAGAATATCTTTGAAACAGGGTAGAAATTGGATTTGGTCTTTACTAAAGGATAGGAAACAACTCAACCAGCATCCACAAAGGAAAAGCAATGAAATGAAGTTTTCTATTTTGGGTCATTTGTGTTTATGTGTGTTTTCGTAGTGGATCTCTTGAGCCTGTCAGCTGCATGTGATGTCTTGGACCAGCACAACCTCAAGCAAAATGACCAGCCCATGGATATCCTGCAGATCATTAACTGTTTGACTACTCTTTATGATCGTCTGGAGCAAGAGCACAACAACTTGGTCAACGTCCCTCTCTGTGTGGATATGTGTCTCAAATGGCTTCTCAATGTTTATGATACGTATGTATGGCAAGAGCGGACCTAACTTACACAGGGATAACAGTATTGTTATTATAGTAGTGTCTCAGATATGGATGTCTTCTCCCAGGGATAAATCATTTCTGCCTATGACTTGAAACATTTGTTATGGTAGCAGTAAGAGCTGAATGCAGATTAAATGAATGGGATTAAATGTGTCTAATCCCAGAGGCAGAGGCAGGCAACTCTTTGTAAGTTTGAGGCCAGCCTGTTCTCCACAGTGTGAGTTTCAGGACAGTCAGGACTACATAGTGAGACTCTCTGAGAGGAAAAAAAAAAGAGTTGGAATGCAGATGGCTCTCAAATCAGAATCTAACCATAATCTGAGATAAGCCATCTTTTCAGTAGAGCGAGTTATCAGGTAGCTACGGTTCCTTCCTTTTCTCACCTGGGTTTTGGAGTTCTTCCATCCATTTTGGAGTGTGCCGTCTCATTGGCAGGGATGCCGGTGCTCCTGGAGATGCTGGCACAGCTGTTAGCTCAGAATTGCTGTAGCACATATGTCAACCAGTTATGGAGGCGGTATATAGATGAGTCACCCAAAGTGGAATTAAACTCAAGTACAGCAAACATAGCTCCTGAAACCAAGCAAGATTGTCGTTGTTGTTTTGTGTATTCGTAACGTCTTGCAGAGCTGCTCTTTGGCACATCCATTCATCAACCTCTGTTAGGTAGAGAGCGGTCATTTGGATTGCACACAGGACACAGCTCCAGTTCTCATTTCTGTCTGCAGCCTAATGAACACAATCGCGCATTGGCCGTGATTTTTCACTGAATTCCTCTTAGGCCCCAGAATTGTTGCACGCCTCATTTCACATATCAACGAGTACATACTCCCATTTGGAGATCTGGGAAAGGTTTCTTAAAGGCAATGCATGTCAAACTGCCTTCTCCCTCTGTTCTCTGCCTCTATCGTGTCCTTTTGATATGCATGCATACTGTTATCTTTGCCATTTTGTAAAGTATTCACTTTTTAATTTTCAGGACCCTCTGACTATTAAATGCATATACTTGTCTACTTGGTTCTTGGACATATCAGATTTTAATTGTGGATTACATTTACATTTGTTTTGATCACAGTTTATTTTCGGGTATTCCCTCATATTTTTGGCATCAGTTTCTTTGTAGACGAGATATGAATGGAGTCTGAGTATAGAATTTCGTTCAACCTACCTAAAATGATTCGAAGATCATTTTAAGTGCCCAAAGACTTCAACTGCTGTATAAAGTTTACCTGTCAAGCTTTGATTTGCTTTTTTCTAATAGAAACACAGATATTTTTTGGCAGTGACAGGAATTTCATTAAAGCATTTGAATCTAGTATTTTTCTTTAAATGAGAGATCTGATAAGTTGTACTAATTGAAAATTGAGCATATTGACCAACAAACATACCAAAATCTGAGATATAATTACTTTCCAAAATCAAACAAAAAGCCAAAAATCTGTTCGAAAACATTTGCTACAAAATGGAAATCTGTTTGTTCATTCTATTTTTTTCCTTTGTTACCCCATGGTTAAATTTTTGTGTTAGTACATTTTTGTGTGCAATGCTTTATTTTGCTTCCTAATGTTTCAAGCATAGCCATATCAGAATGTTCATTTGGGAGTAGGTTACTTGATAGGGCATGCATTGGGATGCTTTCTGGTAGTGTATGCCATGATTTCATTGGCTATAAATATTCATGTTTTATATTTTGTGTTGTGTGACCTGAAGTGATGACTCATCTTCTTAGTAAGCAGTGACATGATGAAATTCCGGGCATGCTAAGCAGGGAAGAGTTACTTGCTAGGAATTGTTTTTGGCTTTAACAACCAAAATCGACAGTTTGCTCTAGTAACCAGAACTGCCAAGTGCACAGTGGTAATTCTTCCCTCTTACTCAACCAAGGAGGCTCTCTGTAGGTGAGTGGAAGGGAATTCTATCCTGATTTTATGTAGAGCTGTTTTGACAGTTCAAGTAAGGGCTTTTAAGAGTTGAGAATTGGGTAGATATTCATTAATTTGGTTCATAGAACTTTCCCATTGCCTTCTAGGTCATGAGGCAAATAGATAATGAACTCAGACAAGTTTTTAACATTAATCAGACACTGGCCTATAGAGCTTCTGTATCCAAGGCCTTTTTGCCCCTTAACTAGGAACTTCTACACTGTATTGGAGCGCCAGTAACTGTTTTGTTTTCTGGTTTGATTCTTCATAATAGGGGACGAACAGGGAAGATCCGTGTCCTGTCTTTTAAAACTGGCATCATTTCTCTGTGTAAAGCACACTTGGAAGACAAGTACAGATGTAAGTCTTACATATGAACTCTGTATTTTCTTCATTGATGTTGCCTAATTACTCTCATTCTAGATGGAAAATAATGTACCATTCTTATTTCACGGCAGGTTTGTCACTTCAGATGGAGAACTGCTTTTAAAGGGTCATAAAATTTGGGTTGTGCTCTTCCCTTTCAGACATTACATTGAAGGCATTTAAATAGAGAATGAGGATTAGCTTTGCCGGCCCAAGTATTATTTTATGTTACATTGTCTGTGTCTTAGTAAAACACATGTTCCAAGGGAATAAAGTCTGATTTCCTAACCCCTTTGTGTAAGTCAGGAGAAGAAATGTGAAGGTTTAATCCCAGCTTTTCCTGTGTCTCTTTGGATTCCCACTTAAATAATACTATCTGGCATTTGTGTTCAAAACACATTGTATATTTTATAATCATCTTACTGCAAGCTGTACTGACACATTCAATTCTGTGACGTGACTAACATTTTACTGTTTGAGGGATGGCTAGCCTTCTATTTCTTAGAAGGTAAGTAGCACCCTCTAGAATTTTCTTTTTGATTGGCTATTAGAATCTTTTACATAAAAACCGTAAATCTAAATAAAAGGCAAATGTTAAAGGACTCATAGTTTGGGTGCCCAAATCACCATCCATTCTCACTCTGAAGGACTGTGTATGTTTGCCCCTGGAAATGCTTGTAAGGAGCCTTTTCAGGAGGAATTGAACAAATCTAGCCTGTCCTGGCTTTCACCTAAGAACTAGTCATACGTAGATGAAGCAGTATGCTGGGTGTCAAGATGGGCAGAAGACAAAATACATGGCATTTCTCCAAAGCCAGGCTGTGTTGCAATTCTCAGTTTTGTAGAGTAAATCATACTATACGCAAACCACTGTAGCGCTCACTTTTATATAGTTTCCATGGGAGTTTTCCTTCCCCACGAACTAAACAACATAAAATAAAACAACCCCCAGCCAAACCTGAATAATGTTTTTTTTTTGGACCCTTTAACATTATTTGGGATAAAAACAATATTTCTGAGTGCTTTTATTTTTTGAATGTTATAACAACTTATTGTAAGTTAGGTTTATTGTCTTTTAAAAAGACATGGGAGTGGTTTCTCCCTAACTTCTTGCTGTCACTCAATGTTTGTAAGTTTAAGGTCGTCTTTGACTACCTACTGAAACTCTTTATTCCCCCAAACAAATACAGAAATAGTAAGGCAGACGTAGGAAATCAACAATAACTTAGTATGATAGGAGCTAGTTACACAAGAGCACAGCATCCTATGTAAGCAAACATGCCAATCTCTTTGATGCTGAAGGGACTTATGACTCTTTAAAAACTCATGATTTTGTTACATATTTTGATATCTGATGCTCACATGCTTTTTGCTAATCATATGACTCTTGATTAAAAAGTATCCATGGTAATATTCATGTCATATATACATAATAGTTACCAAAGGATTGTGTTTGTTTTAAAAAGCAAGTTACTAAGTTACTAAGAATACATTTGGGGTCTGATGAGATGGCTCATTGGGTGAAGATATAACTCAGGTTCCATCCTCAGGATCCATATGATAGAAGGAGAGAACCAATTCCTGTAAGTTACCCCCGAACTCCACATACTCTAAATATATGCATGCATAAGAAATCAATAAAATGTAACTTTTAAAAGTGCACGTAAGCCGTCAAGATGGCTCAGAAGATAAAGGCACTTGCCACTGCACCTAATGCTGAATTTTACCTCCAGGATCCATAAGGTGGAGGGAGAGAACTGACTCCTGCAAGTTTTCCTTGACTTGCACATATGTGCCTTCATATATGTGACCTACACTTCACATAGAAGTAAATGAAATAAAAAAGTAATACATGTAAACTCACCCTTTGCAGGACTGCAGTTTATTTAAATTTTTATATGACATATGTAGGCATATGTTCTGATTACCCTAAATTAGCCATAATCCCTCAATCTAACATGGAGAAAGTTATGCCTTCAGTCCCTTGCATCATATAAAACCACACACCTATAATCTTAGCTCTCAGGAGGTAGAGTCAGGAGAATAAGAAATTCAATGTTATCTTCAACTACATAGCAAGTTTAAGGTCAGCCTGTATTACATTAGAACACACACAATTAAGATAAAAAAGTAAAACAGTGAGTCTGTGGGAATATTGGCCATACCTGAGAATAAGTACTTGCATTGAATTTGCCACTGGGTTCTGCTTACGTCCACTTGTTCCACTGTTTTGATTTTCATGGTTCTCTTCTTTTCTTTTATAGACCTTTTCAAGCAAGTGGCAAGTTCAACTGGCTTTTGTGACCAGCGTAGGCTGGGTCTTCTTCTGCATGATTCTATTCAAATCCCAAGACAGCTGGGTGAAGTTGCCTCCTTTGGGGGCAGTAACATAGAGCCAAGCGTCAGGAGCTGCTTCCAATTTGTAAGTTACTCATCTTTTTTTATTTTTTTTTACCTGTGTGTGTATGAGACTGAGCAAGTGTTCTACCACCAATCCATTCCTTGTGCCACAAACGCGCATGTTTGCACACACACACACACACACACACACACGAGCCCTTCTTACAGTCCTATAGTATATCTAAGGTTTACACTCTTCTAGTTACTAGTGCATGCTCAGCACACTGCCTCTCTTGCTCATCCTGCCTTTTCCTGCCCCCGCTGTCCTTCCTCTTCTGTTCTCCTTCTCAGTGCCCGGGCACTCTGCTATGGCATACATACGAGTAGGCTGTTTCTATTTTTGGTAAATAAAGTAAGTAGTCCTGCTAGGTAGTATTATAATGAACGTCTTCACGTGTTTAGTCCTGTTCTTTTAAAAATCTCTCTCTCTCTCTCTCTCTCTCTCTCTCTCTCTCTCTCTGCCTCTCTCCCTTGTGTGTGTCTCTCTGTGTGTGCACATGCCTGAATGTGTGCACGCATGTGTGTGTATGTATGTGTTCACGGTGTGAATGTGGACATGTGCCCACAGAGGACAACCTCAAGCATCAATCTTAACCTTCCATCTTGTTTCAGAAAGGGTCTCTTGCTTTTTGCTTCTCTATGTGCCTGACTAGCTGGCCCCCAAACTTTCAGGGACTCTTCTGTCTCTCTCTGCCTTTCCCTTTGTTGGAGGAGCAGCGAGACTGCAGATACATCCTCTGGTGCCTCACCTTCTGTAGGCTCGAGAGTTCTGAGCTCAGTCGAGTCTTCATGCTTCCCATCCTCGCTGGTCCATTTTCTCTCTTTTGAAACAGATTCCTTTGAATCAGTTGATCAGATTCAAGAATAGAAATATTTTTTGTGCCTTTTGACTCATATTAACAGATGGCTTTTCTTTAACAACTCTTTCTAGTTGTAATGCCACCAGAATTAGTGGAATAAGATATTTGCAGGACCACTGTATTCACTGTGTTCTTATGTATTTTTAAATGCTACAAGCTGTTTTTCTTATGTGAGGTTTCTCAATCATTCTAATCTCATTCACAGTGGCTAAGATTTATAAAATTGAAGTCTTTTTCCCATAAACTGGAGAAAATTCTAGGCATCTTTCTAGGAAGAATGCTGTCACTATTTCAATGGTAAAGCAGTTTGAATATTTAAGACTTAATTGGCAATATGATTGAATGTGCACAGAATAAACCCACTTACTATAGAGTGAGATATATTGGAATTATTTTGCCAAAATGTTGGCAGGTTGGTTGTAAAATAGTTATAGGATATAGCTGCATTTTTCATCATTCCAAAGCATGAAAATGCAATCATTATGAAACCTTTGTACACGTTGCTGTAATAATATCTATTCTAGAATATCAATATTAATAACTTTCATATAATGAATTTTAGCAACAACACAATATAGGTTTTTTTAATTCACTTATACAACAGCATGCAGTACTATAAATTTCCCACTAGTCTTTGTCTTCTAGTGAAATTCTATTTACTTTTTACTTTTTGAGTTTGAGTTGTGAAGTGCATGCACACATGTTCACATATGTAGTAGGAGGCTACTTATTTGTTCCCAGCTTTTCAGCCCCAAAATTACCATGCCGAAACTGTACTAATTAAATCACTGCTTAGGCCATTAGCTCTAGCTTATTATTGGCAAACTCTTACATGTTAATTTAACCCATTTCTATTAATCTGTATATTGTCATGTGGCTGTTGCTTACCGACAAGGTTCCAGTGGTGACAGCTACATGGTGTCTCTTGACTCTGCCTTCTTTCTTTCAGCATTCAGTTTAGTTTTTCCCGCCTACCTCTGTTCTGGCCAGCTATAGGCTCAAGCCAGCTTTCTTTATTCATTAATGGTAACCAAAGCATACAGAGAGAATCCCACATCACACATATGTGTACCTATATATTGTATCTTAAGTTAAAAGTAAAGATCAGATTATAGAGGCACTGTCAACTGTCTCTATTGTATGATGGTCCCTGTTGCAGAGAGCTATGCTCAGAGCTTCCCATCACCTCTCTGTACTGACACACTGGGCAGCCATTACCCCTCTTACTGTAACTTCTCTACTTGAATTTGGCTGTCAGGATAGAGGCTTTTGAACTAAAGCTCTGCTTTCCCTGGCAAGGAGGCCAGTCTGTCCCACCTCTTCTTTTGCTAATTGCCCCTTCTCCTGAAATCTATCTCTCTTACTTGCTTCCTTGCCATCTCTGTAAAAGCAGCCCTCTTCTCAGCATCAGCATTTGAACTCAGTCCATCTTGCATATTGAGTGAATGCCTCTGTGTTAGCCAGCAAGCTCCTGGAAACCTCTTTTGTTAGATTAGGAAGAAACTGACCAAGAGATTCCCAGTGATAACAAGAGGCTTTTTATTTGCTCCTTGCTTTTTTCTCTGAATTTCCTTCTTTGAGCATTTATAATTTTGAACGAAAGCAAGCAAGGAAGGCAGGCAGATGGGAGGAAGGAAAGAATAGAAAAGAAGGAAGGAATGAAGGAACGAAGGGAAGCAAGCCAATGACCAAAGTGCTTCCTTTGATTCCTTTCCATGGCAATCCTTACCTTGTTTCACAGCCCGCTCATTGCTTGGGCACATCATTGCATGTTTCTCCTAAGAAGCCTGAGGACCACACTGCAGTGCCTGCCTTTGATCTGAATGTCCTTTTACGTACTTTAAATATTACCACATGACAACTATCATTAACGGTCTCCAGTGGATTTCCATTTTCTGCTAGAGAGATTTCAGCTTCTTTATTTTAGCCCTCGGGTGTTTCCTAATGTAGTTCCATAACCACTGCTTTGAAACATTTCTTTTGCTACCTTAGAACAGCCATACCTCATTGTTTGTATTTTGCGTGATTATAAGTAACGACATTATTATTGTTACTTACAAAATTTTGTACTTATTCAAATGAATTTACTCATTGAAATCTTGCAGTCCTTTGGGGAGAGTACAGTGGGCAGGCTTTGGAGGTTTTTGGTTTTATTTTTGAACAACTTTCTCTGCCTTTAACCTCTGTCAACTGTGGAATGGTTGGATTCTCATCTATACCTCCTACCTCTTTCCCCAATATGTTCTTTCAGACACTTTTTTCCAGCCTACTCTCAAGGGCAAACAACAAATATTTCATCATGTTTGTACTGGGTTCTGGGTAAAATAAAAGGTGTTACACAGGAAAAACAGACAGATAAGAGGAGTTGGGGAGGGGTTAGGTCAAGTATTGAACTCGATTTTTATAGTAGAATGGGCTGCCGGTGTGGCTTATTCTATTCAGATATGGGAAGCCTCTTAACTTGTAATCATTTCTCATTGGGTTGAATGGCCACATTGTGAATGTTGACTTTAGAATCTGTGTCCTTGCCCTGGATTGCTTTTCTTCAACCAGGTGCTCTGGTGGTCACCTTGCCTGTCATTGTGCAATAGCCATGAAAATACAGTGTTTGCCATAGGGAAAGATAGCAGCAGTGAAAATGCCCTCTGTCCTCTGAAGCATAAGACCTTGGGAACCGGATCGACTTGCTCCTTCAGCAGGCTTGTGCACACAGGGTGCTATTTCTGCTAGCGTGAGGAGCCGGTGGAGTGCCTGCCTCTCTTTTCTGCACTGAGGATGTTGACGCCAGTGGAGTGCCTGCCTCTCTTTTCTGCACTGTGGATGTTGACTTTAAACAGTAGTGCTTCTGTTTCCTTTGTTTCTTGTTACCACATAGAAAACTTCTCTTTCCTGTGCGGATACAGTTAGAAACCTCTGGCCCATGGTCTCCTTGTGGCAGGAAGAGAGGTAAATTTTCTTGAGCCCCATGCTTTAGATGATCTTCCGAAGGTTTCTTCAGTTCTATACGTCCCCACTATAAGCTTACAAAGATGGAAGGAAAGTCACCCCTCAGATCTAAGTTTAAAAAAAAAATAAGCTGTCAATTTAAAACTAAGTGTAAGTCCTGTATGGTAGCACACACCTATAATGCCATTATGCAGGAGACTGAAACAGAAGGATTACTATATATTTGAGGCTAACCCGGGCTATAGAGTGAGTTAGAGACCATCCTGGGGTATATAGCAAGACCTTCTCCAAAATAAATAAATAAATAAATAAATAAATAGAGTCTGTGAGGATAGTTCCGTTGATAAAGTATTTACTCTGCAAGCATGGAGATCCGTGTTTGGATCCCTTGCATGCGTATAAAAATCCAGGTGTGGCAGCACGTGCCAGTAATCCTGGTGCCAAGGGGGCAGAGAGAGGCAGCTCTCTTGATCTTGCTGGCCAGATGGCTTCGCTGAAGAGGCGAGCTGCAGATTCAGTGAGAGGCCCAATCTCAAAAGATAAGGTGGAGGGCCCGTGAGGAAAAAGCCTGGCACAAAAGCCTGGCAGCTTGAGTTGAAAGCTAGGAATGCAACGCACATGAAAGTGGGGGGAGGGAGTTGATTCCACAAAGTTGTCTTCTGACTTCCACATGGTTGCCATGATGCTTGTTACTGCCCCAACCCCCCCACAACACACACACGAATTTGTGAAAATGAAACCATGCTTGTGGCTATTGAAACAGCTTATTTAAGATGTTTGTGGCGTCTTCAATAACACAAAGTCAAGCTATCGGCACACTGCTGCTACTGTATTCACCGGGAAGTTGACTCATTTTGATAGTGATGAAAAAGTATTGAAACTTGACTGTGTTGTGATAGAGCGTGAACTCATGTTGATCACGGTGTTCCTCTTTCATATTCCCTAGACCATAGGCCATTGAAATAGAAAGGGATCTTTACAGGCTATAATAAAGTCAATCTTATGGTGGCAATGAGTCACAGTCTGCCTGAAAGAACCTTTGGGTTATCCCCATCTTGCCTTTTTCAAAAGAAGGAATGATATTCAGTCCCTCCCTTAACACATACACCTTTATTATAAATACTCTAATTTGGGGGCTGGATACATGGCTCAGTGGATAAAAGTACATACTGCTCTTGCAGAGAACCTGGGTGTGGTTCCCAGCATCTGTGCTAGA